ATGAAAACAAAACAAACAAACAAAAAAAATCACGCATGTCCCAGCAAAAAGACGAGCTGGAAGAAATTTTTGAATCTTGATCGCTCGGGCTTCACTTTTGTGGTTACTTTGTTAAAGTTGGCTGGAGGCTAAAGAGACCATCTGGCTGAGTTATTGATTCTCAAACAACTCCTTCGAGAGCCTCCACAGCTCAGAAACATTAAAATTAGACTTTAACGAGAAGAAAAATGCGTGTTTTATATTTTCCAACCCTCCAGTTACTTGAATTATTGAACACAGGCATCGAGGCTGTTGCCTCGTCACCTTCCTACGCTGCAAAGGACACTGAGGTGGCAATACCTGGACCTCACTCTGTGCAGACTCCAACACCAGTCGTCAACCTGCAGGTTAATGACTCATCAGCATATTTGTTCAGCTCCAATTGTACAGCACATGTCAAGTCGGCACAAGTCCTTTGGAATTTCAGTAGAAAGTCTTTTGTTAAACCTGAATTTCGCCTGAAACAGATCTTCATTCATTCGGTTTCTTCAAACGGATTTGTGGTTAATTCAAATCAACCACCAAGGCACAAGTATGAAACCCGCAGTAATATTTGATAGAATAATGCTAAGACGAGTTTTACTGAAAATAACAACATTTAGCCCTTTCATGCAGGAATTCTGATCCTTAATTTTTATTTTCTAAGGGCATTAAAAAAAAGATAGGAAATTTTTTTTTAAGTGATCAATTGTAATTTTCTCTAAATACAACGTTGTTATTTAAAAATACATTAATATTATTGTTGTTTAGAGGTTATTTGATTGGATTTAACAGTAGTTGAGTGTATTTTATGATGGATTAGTGTACACTTCAGTGGTCTGTGTGCATTTATAACATAAAAATTCACAAGAAGTACAAGAAAATGGCTTTTAGACAGTGACCACTATGCATGAAAGGGTTAAGCAGGTATTGGCCTAATTTTGATTAAGTTTATATTTTTGTGTTAAAATCAGCTTAATTAAAAGTCAGGACAAATATTAGAAACAACTGTACTTCAATTAATGAGATTAATGTGAAAATATTGTTATAGTGAGTTAAAACCCTTTTTTAAATTAAATATTGTGTAAGAATAATTTTCTGAACAAATATAGCTTGAGGTTCTTGGAGTTAGGTTTAGAAAAATATACAGAAAAGATTGTGCTGTTTTCATTTCCATAATGCTCTTTATATAAAAAATGAAGGTAAAAACAACTTATGCTCCCATCTATGTTTTTTCAGCCTGCACACTGACAGGAATATAAATATTGTTTATCTATTTATGTGATTTTTCATTTCTGTTTTATTTTCCATTTGTTTTTTCAGCAATGTGTGGTTTTGACTTTTGGATGGAAAGGTTAAAAATGACTAAAATAAATATCTCTTCTTTTCTCATCTTGAATTTCATGTGTTCATTAGTGGCAAGCATTAAAAAAAATCATCATAATTAACAAATAAATGTTTGAAAACATCATCCTGTGTAATAAATTGATTTAATATGCTTCCCTTTGTGAACGGAGTTACTGGAATAAATGAACTTTGATAAAATATTCAAATCTGTTAAATATGACTGTTTAAAGGGATTTATTCTGGACCAACACAAAGACAAAACTGCACTGCCCCAGTCAGGTTGAATCAAAAGCGCCGAACTATACCGCTTCAGATCATCCAAAGCCATTTTTGAGCTGCTCTGCAATTTGACGGGGCGCCACGCTGGAGCTGAGCCTCTGAACTGTGCATTAGGAGGAGAGGCTGGCTGTTCTCGCTTTAACGTTACTATGGGAACCGGCAACGTGCTTTTAAGGCTTGTAAGGCACCCTTTGGGAAATTCAGTGCTCCTGGCCATGTAACAGTATAGAACAACACTTGGAGCTTGTTTCCAGCCAGCTTATTACTTCAGAGGGTACAAAAAGACGACCAGGTGCTGTGTGATGTTTAATATTCAGGACAGGTCTTGCAGTGAATGTAATTCCAGATATCAAGGATGGAGCTTTTTCCATTTTTTAGTGGAAATAAAAGCAGCCTTTAGACTGAAAATATGACATGCTGAAACATATATTAAAATGACACGAAATCATATTTTCTCATATGTCAAAGGATGCATACAATTGCAGATTCAATTGTAAAGGCCACACCTCTTTTTGGGCTACTTCCAAAAAGAGGTGTGGCTTAGATTAAAGTCATCTCCCCGAGTGCATGGCTGTCTTAATCTTGTGAATGTCAAGTTGAGTAAAAATGATTATAACAGCGTTTTATTTGCTAATTTACGAACTTCCTGTAGCTAAAGTTTATGTGGTAATAATCCGTCCATTTTGGCTCCTGTCTCTTTAAAAGATTCTGACAGAGTGCATTTGTTGCTTAGTACTTGTTTGACAACAAGTCAAACAAGCCTCAGGCAACAATTATGCAAATCTTCCACTGATTTTAGAAAGTTAAGGAGGACAAGCCTCAACAAGTAGCTCTGAAGAAATGTCTTTTGTTGTTTTTTGCTTTGAAGAAACCTAAAGGTTGCAGGAAAGAGATCCTAATGCATCGTTTTATGGTTTCTAAATATGTGCAAAGCACTACCTGGATTATTCATCACAAAGTTGCCACTGTTGTATCCTCCTGCTAAGAATAAGGAGTGATTTCACAGATTCATTATTCCTTTTGTTTCACCTGCTGCTTAAGAAATCTGCAAGCCTTTTAACAGCTGCAAACCTAAAATATGTCCTTTTCTAAACTAGACAAACTGAAACTGAGCACACTCCAATCATGTACTCACGCATTGTTCACTTTGCTCACACAATAAAAATTATGCAGACAAATGTGGAGAATAAACAAAGACTACTGGGAAAGCAGCAATGCAGTTTGTTAATTTAAGCGATCAATGAAAAAAGGAGAAATGGAAAATTACTTTGGTGCATTTGCTTTGTGCAGTTCTTTATGCTAAACACCCGATGCAAGCTGGTCCGCAGTGATTTAGAGTTTCTAAAGGTTCTTTAAGAGCTTCTGAGATATATATTACCACACTCTGCAAACAATGTCGCCACATCCGGTAAAAAGTGTTTTGTTTTTATTTCTGAACCTTATTGCGGCAAGTAGCACATGGAAGGAGAGGATGCAGAAGCAAATGACACTGCAAGGAACAGCTGTTCATTTCACACCAAGCAATTCCAGAGACACGAGTTAACATGCAAAGCAATGCAAGTTAGAACAAGCCAGATTCCCTGAAACCAAGCAGCTGAGAGAGAGAGAGAGAGAAAAGTCCAGTCCAACCAGACCAAAACTGAAACAGTCCCCCAGCACCACGCACACAGCTGCTACCAATCAGAGGAAGATCCCCTCATCTTTAGGATGTATAGTGAGATCTGGTTTGTAATGGATAGCAGAGGCTTTGTCGGTCTCCTCAGGGTTAGAACCACAAGATACCACAGAGTCTGTGTGCCTGCAATTATGTGGAAGGGTAGAAAACTGAATCAATTTTGCTCAGCATTTCCCCCCCCTCTTCCCCCAGAAGAGACAAAAGAAGCAGAAGAGGCATGAGCAGCAGTTTGAGCAAGTTATGATCAATACAGTGCCCTCACCTAAAAAAACCCCAATTTCTTGTGGGTTATTCTGGGTGCTGAGAATAGACCTGTTAGTTTGCTCCCACACGTTTGGATGTGTGATGGGAGTTGTTCTAACAAGCTGTGTGGATACTCAGACACCGAGACGCACAGATGATTTGTGACAATCAACTGGTCTGCTCATGTGTGCAGCTGCAGTGCCTTGCAGAAATATTCCTGCGTCTTGATGGGTTTTTTTTTTTTTGCCCATTTTGTCACCGCAGACCACAATGTATTTTGAGGGGATTTCTTTTAATAGATCAACACAAAGTGGTGCACAATTAAATAAAACCTGGTTTTCATTTACCGTTGCACAAACAAAAATCTGTTAAGTGTGGCTTGCGTTAGTTTTTACTCCTTTTAACCCAACTATTCCCCAAATAGATTTATATCAAGACTTTGAGTGGGCCATTTTCAGACATCAATATGCTTTCATGAATAGTTCTGTCAGTTGTTCCGTTGTAACTTTAACCTCTATCCCAGTGTCTGCAACAGCTTTTCTGTCTTTGTCTCCACCGTTCTTAACATCCCTTCTGACCAACTTTCCGGTCGTTCCCACAGCAAGGCGCCAACGTCTTTCTTGATGTGGCCTGTTCACAGTTATTGGCAGTGCTCGCTTTCTGATACAAATAAGAGTTTTTGCATGTGGACCAAAAAATTTAACTCTGTTCTTAACCTCACCAGATAAGCTTCTTCTACCAGACTTCAATGGCTTTGAATCTTTGAGATCTGAGGAGAAAATGGTTCATTAACAAACTGTTGTTCTAATGATGGTAGCATTGGTACTCCAAAACCCTAATTTTGTCATAGGAAAGCTGCATTTTAGCATCAAATTAATAAAATTAAGGAGGTGGGGTGTACTGGATTGCGTTTACGGCTGGGGTCATGCAGTTCCTATTTCCGGCCCTCACCTTTATGTGGAAAAAAATGTAATAAGGCCCTTAAGTTATTGAATCACTTGATTCAAAATTTTATCACATAAAATAATTTTTAATTGTACAGTACGGGCAGTTTTTGAGGGGGCAGACTTGAAAGAAGCAGGATCATTAAAAAAATAAACTTTCTTCTAAAGACACTGCTTTTTGAATATTTTTGTTGTGCAGCATTAAGAAAATGTGAACAAAAAGCCCAAATTTATTTGAGGAAGTGGCATTGTTAGCTCAGTAATAGATGGTTATTTGTAATGATATATTTACTTCATTTGAGCTTGAAACCTCTGGTTTAGGAGTATCAGAATAAAAAAAGAGTGAATAAAAATGTTCATTTGAAAACTTACAAGAGGTGTGAATACTTTTGTAAGGCACTGCGCTGTTGTCTGATGGATACTGTATTGATCAAGCCATGCCAGAATTACCGAACGGGGGAGAGCGCGGAAACGGCAGCTGTGTTTTCGCTTACCGGTGATGTTGACGTCCACGACTCCGGTGCGCGTCCCGATGCCGTTGATCGCCACACAGACGTAGGTTCCGGCCAGGTCGTAGGTCACGGGCCCCTTGAAGAACAGGGTGTTGTTTTTGATCTCCACGTTGGTGGGTAGCGAGCCGTTCAGACTGTCGGAAAGAATAAAGTTAAAAAAAGAAAAGAAAAAAAAAAGCCAATGGTGCAGACCACATAAAAGGACGAAATTACTCCAAACCACAAAAAAACAGAGAGAAAAAAAAATCTCTGCAAGACGTATAAGAAAAATCTGGAGCGGTGAACAACCCTGCATGTGGGGGTGAGATAAATACCAGGAATATTTGACAGCACTGTATTTCAGATGTCATCCATCAAATCCTAACAATATTATGAGGACAGGGAATCCCACCCGGTCCTAACAGGTACAATATAGCTGACGCTGGAGGAGAGGCTGTTTCGGCATGAGGAATACAAAACAGACAGGAAAAGAAAAGGGGAGTCTGCTTTCTCATCTACAGCCCAGCTCACATGGCTGAACTTAAAACTCAAGGGAGCTGTCAGAAGAGGCAGCTGATCAAGCGATAAATACAGACTCTACAAAATGCCGGGCTTTTATTGAAGACTGCCCATTTCTCCTGCCTAAAGGTGTTTGCCTTTATGGTCCACTATCTCTGCTGCGCTCAGACTCGCCCGTGTCCTTTTGATCAGGCCAGCCCACTTTAAGGTCACAGATCATGAACGCGGGAACCCGTCCACTCTATTATCCGGGCCGACTTTTCACAGCGCCCGCAGGCTCAAAAGAGGTTTCCACTTTCAGGACAATTAGCCGTTTCCCGTCGCCTTCCACCCGATCGGCTTCATCGGCTGCACTGAATGGACTCGGCTTAAGAAGAGTTACAATTGCGATAGCGCTGAATAGTTCTCCGGCCTGACTGTGGTGACAATGAGGACGCCGGCTGAAAAGATATTCTGTCATCGCTCCCGGGTCACAGGGAAAGAGAGAGACTCCGAGAGGCGCTGCTGTGCAAGGACATTAAAAACAATATGGCGCTCCATTTACTGAAGTGAGAGAAGAACGGGATGAGATTACAGAGAGAAAACAAAATTAGGCCTCATGCTAACAATGGTCACCAATCAGGCACTTGAGCTGTGCTTTCAACAAGGCTCTTAAATGACAGTGGCGGGGAGTGTAATTAACATATCGCTACAGGAAATATGACAAGATCCGGATCTGGACGGTTTAAAATGAAATAAACGAGTTCCTTCACCTATTTCATGCTGAAAACTTTACATACATTCTCACACTCACAACTGTAATGTTCTCTGTTTATTATTTTACCTTTTAAATACTTTTTTCTAGATGGATGGATGGATGGATGGGAGGGACAGATAGATGTATCAACAAATAAAAATAGTTGGATGGATAAAGAGAAGGATGGATGGATGAATGGATGTAGAAACAAAAGGATGTAAGGATAATGGCTACCACTTCCATAAGTATAACACCTGCTCAGAAACCTTCACTGCTCATTCTTCCAAGTAAGCAAACAAAAGTTTTATTTTCCAGGACAGATGGATGAATGAACCAATAAAAACTGTTCAGTGGCTGGAGAGAGGGATGGAAAGATGGATGGATGGACCAGTGGTTGGCTGGATGAAGAGAGGGACGTACGTATGGATGGATGGATAAATAAGACCGGGAATAAAACCGGAATACTATCAATACAAAGTTCAGACTTTCGGACCTTTGTGGCTCAAATGTATTTCTGAGCACAAAGCAATAGAAAAAGCTGAGCTTGAGTAGATTTTCCATTGGTCACCTGAGCGAGGCAATTGCAGCGAGACGGCAAACAACCCTCAATACAGCATGTCACGATTCAATAATCAGTTAACTTGTGAACCTCCATCAAATGCTGAGTTCTGCAAAGCTCAATTGATTTGCTGTAGAAATGAAAGGCTTGCAAACCGCGATTCACCACTGCTTCTGCCATGACCAGCAATGCCTGCATGAGTGAATGCATGCGTGTGTGTGTGTGCATGCGTGTGTGTGTGTGACTGAGTGTGTGGGCATGAATGGAGCCTGAGGGGCTGCAAAATAAAAGACTAACAAACAGCTTGAGAGCGATACGGATTCTTTGATGACTGGCTGGGCTCCTCATGTATGCAGTGTCTGTGTACAGATGTCGGTGTGAGGAGGCTGCAGCAACCTCACATCTCTGTCAGTACAAACTGCATCATTATTTTAGGAGGAAAAACTGAGGGAAAATATACTCTGTAATTAAAGGTAGAACTCCTTTACATGGAGCTTCGCCTCGTTCACTCAAAGTATTTGGGCTCCTGTCAGTAGAAATGTCACGGTATACCAAGCTAACGACATGAAACGACACACTGGGTTCTTTAAAACAAAACGACAAAAGATTTTGGTAATATTTGTGGGAAAACGAAACCTAATGAAGTCCAGTTGTTTCAGATTTTACACTAGAGAGGAAGAAGCTATAAAGGGGAAGCTGCTAACACTTAGCTATGTTAGCAGCCATGAGTAATATTTTAACAATGCATATTTTTATATTGTCTTTTATTGTTCTACTGAATACCCCAAAACAGTGGAGGCTTTTTAATCAATAATTTAGCTGGATTTTGCTGATCAACAATCATAAAAAGCTTAATCTGCCAACACAAGGCAACTCAAGAGCTACTTCCTTTCTCACTCCAAAATAAAAGTCTCAAACAAAGCTACAACATGGATTGACTGTCCATCTTTAATTACAATCAAAAGAACAAATCATTCTTTATCCCCTTGAGTCCTAAGTTTCAAATCTCCACCAGGATATTTTTGCTTATTTTAATTGTATGATGTTCTTCAAATGTCCAGTGAGTAAATATATATTGCCCACTTGTCAACAACAACTGGAGCTTTCAATATCTAGAAGTTATTTTCACAATTTACTATTTATCTATTAACAGTTCCCATCATATAAATTTCACTCCCTGCTACGGTGGGAGTGAAATTACTGTAATAACCTGACATTGGATGGAAAGCGCAGCGTCTCTGCTTCCAGAAACCGTTGGATTCTTTCAGATAGCGCAAAGTGTCGCAGAGTTACAGTACTGCAAATTTGACTGTGTCAAGCTGACACATTCGGTCTAGACGGGTTAAATTGTGTATGAAAACATCCTAATAATTTTTATTCAAAACAAAAAAATGCACAAGTTACAAAAAAATCTGCTGACGGCTGATGGGAAGTTTAATCTTTAGCTTTGCAAACATTTTATTGTCCTCCTCTTGTGTGAATTGTGGTCAAATTCAAAACAACATCCAAAGAGGGGGAACAACAAAATTTCAATGCCAGCCTGTGGAAAACATAGAGCCCTCAACGTCGCTTTGAATGCTGAATGAGGATTTCTGTTTTCCAACAAAGCAAATCTTAAAAGACGCAAAGAAGTATACATTTTAAATCTGACACGTCCATTAAATCTTTGGATGCAAATGAAGTGACGATAGCGGCATTTGGGTTTCAGTGCTGCTCGTGGTTGTAATTAAGGGGAAGAAGCTGTCCTAAAGAGACCAACTGTGGGGATATCCAAAAAGCAAACGCATAAAGTTCTTCATTCTGCAAAATATCAAGGAAAAGCTATAAAAAGCACGTATTAATAAGCCACGTTGAGTCTTGCCAGATTGATCTGCCAAACCTACTGCCACGAGTTCGAAGCAAAATAATCTCAAATGTCTTTATGGCCAGGAAGAAAGCCAGGGGCCTCAAAATACTGTTTAGAAAGAACCCAAAAGAGGACAGAAATAATTGAGGTATTTATTGGAACTGATAACAATCTGAGGATCTCATAGCATCTGTTGAGAGAAAAGTTTAATCTAACTCAATATCAATATAGCCTGTGCCTAAGTTAAAAAAAGGTTTAAGACGGTAAAAAAAACCCAACAACCTCTATAGATGCATTGTTGGGTCACTGAATTCTTCATTCACTTCTAACTGCCTAAACAAAGGGATCTTAAAAGCTTTGTGGTCTCCATGAAAGCAGAACTGGCTGTACTTTTTCAAACAAACTGAGGTTTGAATATCCCTTTAAAAGGCTATTAAGTATTTGTGAATTTCAGCCACTGCTACTGGAGACTGAAGAAATTAACAAACATTTGTCTTATTGTGGCCTTTAATCAACATGACTAATAGAATCTCATTTTCAGAGCAGAGATAAGAAAGCCAGCTAATTAGAGTCGAGTTTGAAGTAATCACACTGTGAAATGCATTAATAACAAAATTCAGATTTTGTGATTCATGCAGGCCTTTGTCTTTGAGGAACTGAAAATGCCTTTAAGGATGCGATGAGGTTTTCTTGTCTGCTGGAAAATAGCTTTTTAATGAAAGGGGAAGGGAAAAAAAAAAGAAAATTTAAAAGTCTGAAATCTTAATCACACAAGTAAGTTAGTTGTAAGTGATGATAATGAACTCTGGAGCCTCATTTTCATATCTTCTGCATACTTGGAAAACTAAAGGATGTCCTAAAAGAATACATTTTCAAAACAAACGATAAAGTTCAAACGGAACAGGTCTTTCTGCCAGAGAGCCATTATTCTCAGCTGCAAGAGCTGTGTGTATTTTAAGGTTCGGAAAAAGAAACTACGAAGGAAAAATCTCTGCAGATGGTAAAAATAACAACTGGGACAGTAATGAACGAAAGTCAAATATACAACTGGAAGCCTGGCAAAAAACGTGAGTATTTGTACCAGTGTAATTAGAACGGGTTACACCTTCCTGTTGGAAGTGCTTATGATGCTGTCCTGCTCCATCGTTCCCTCACAGCCTGGCGCTGACCTCCACAGCCGAGCCCAGGGGAACCTTCACAACAGATTTGGCTTCTCGTTTTCTGTGCGGCAATGGCCGTCCTCTCCGATCTGTCAGCCCTGTGCCCTCGTCTTTCCAGATCACATCTCCTCCTCCTCTTCCTCCTCCCTTCCCATCTCCCTTTGCTTCAGATAAATAAAAAATACATTATCTTGCTTTCTTATTTTGTGTGTACGTCTGGGTTTCTTCTCCAAAAGATATATGAGTGCGCAACAAGAAAAAGGAGAAAGGGGTGATCTGTATGTCTTATTAAAATCTCATTGTTGCTGGAGGAATAGATACAATGAGGCCACAATGGTCTATTAATTCACCTCCGATCCAGAAATGTTGCTCTCAACCTCACCCTCGTGAAGCAATTAAAGGAAAAATTGCAACGTTCATCTCTCGGTTTCGACACATAATGTGGGAATATAAAAATCTAAACAAATTCATTTTAAAATCCAGCTCAAATCAGTTTTATTTTTGATGTTACGTATTGATTGGCTTAATTAACACAAGCTACAGCAAAGACATCATTCATTTACGATTTCAGTGCTTCCTTTGCTTTTGTAAGATGGAAACAACAAATTTAATGATTCGCAAAATCATTGAAGTTGCAATTGCTTCATCTTCATAAAGCAATTCAAGGAAACATTGCAACATTGATTTCTCGGTTTTGAAACGTAATGTGGGAATGTAAAAATCTAAATGCATTAATTTTAAAATCCAACTCAAAGTAGAGTTTTTTTGCTGTTACATATTGATTAGCTTGATGAACACAAGCCACAGCAAAGCTTTTTTTTTAGTATGGAGACAACTTCAGTGTCACTTTACCATAAAAACACAAATTTAAACATACAAGCTCAAAACCCAGACTGATATTTGCAAAAATATAATTTAGCTTTTTGCAGGAACTGAACGCTTTTTTTTCCAGTCTTCCACAAGCTTTGGGAAGACGTCTGGCAGGAGATCTGGCCACTTTTCTTGGCAGAATTGGGTAGAGCTCATTTAAATCACTTTGGTTTCCTGGCACAGGCAGGGCTTTTATATCATATCCATAAACTGAAACTGTTGTTTGTCTGCGATTATAAAAACCTGTTGTAACAAGTCCTGTTCACTTTCACGAGCCAAAGATGAAAGATTATTTCAAACTATTAATTATTTACTCAACTCTTGGGGATAATAAATCATAACATCAGCACCCTCTCAGTTCACACTGATGTTAGTTACTGTTTTGTTTCTGCTTTTTCAGGTTTACAAGCTTTCGCATTTAGTTGAAATGTTCCTGGTCCTTTTAACCAACTTACATCTAAAAGTGACAATTCGGGTCAGAAAAGTCAAACTTGTTTGTTATTCTAATGATGATCAACAATCTTTCTTTATAATGGAAAAATGGGTAACATTTAGCCCTGAAAATATACTTTGGGAATCGACTGGACAAGAGGGTGTTTATGTGAATATTTCCCAAATAAGTTAAAAGTTAATATTTCAGATTTAAAAGTATTGATGGTCCAAAATCAACATCTATTCTCACCCAGTCATCCCCAAGGTGAGAATATCTAAATTCACCTGCGTTGTTTGCATACCTTTCGGATTATATTTCCTACTTATCAGTTCTGGAATCTCATTCTGAGTGGTTATTCTGAATTTCATCCTTCAACTTCGCTCTGATCGTCACCGAATCAGAAATACTGATCTCAGCTGGCGTGATGTTTTAATCTATTATGTCTCGGCTTCAGGAGTCGAGGGTGAGCCGCTGCCTCCGTGCCCTGCTGAGAACACAACAGCGCTAACAGTGACGCTCTCTCACCTGCATGCTGGCCCAAAGACTTAAAAGCAAAACAGCAAACACAAAGCATAAAGTGTGCACCGTTTGCATTTATCTCTCAGTATCTGTGACCGGCAGGTAGATAGGGGGCTGTGTTGCCGCTGTAATAGGCCCATTGTACTCTGCCTGGGGTTTTATCTTCATTACACGTTTTACAACAAAACATGAGGCTGCTGCTTCTATCTTGGATGATCGGTTTCTTGTGTATAAGAATGTTGGGGAAGTACGTTTTCGCTCAGCATTCCCGCTCTGCGAAATGACCCTCCTGTGCCTCAGCAACACCTCGACAACAAGATTTAGTTTCCCCCCACAAATCTAAGGAGAGAGAAACGGCACGCAGTCACGCTACATCTTGTTTTCAGAGCCTTTAAGGGTTTCTGTGACGGGTTTGAGTCGCACTCACAGTTTCCACTGGTAGATCGTCACAGGGGGGTTCGCGTCTGCCCTGCAGGTCAGCTGGACGTCCTTACGGTTCAGGTACCAGTTTCCATCAAACCCTTCAATCTTCACCTCGGGTTCATCTGCAAGGAAGGCACAGTGATGTTAAACATGGTAGCAAAACTTATTGTCTCCGTTGCAACCCTGCTGAATCACAGTCAAACTTTAGAAGCAAACAAGTTCACGCCTCACTTGTTTATGGTTTCAACCAAATGATACGTTGTGTTAAAAGACACCTAATCTTTTTTTTGTGTGTTTTTCCATTGTCTGGCATTTAATCAGACAATGGATTTTAAGTTAGTTAGGATCATTCAAATAATATTTATCTGCTCAATGTGAGATTAATGAAAGAGAAACTGGATTGTTGTGTGTGGTTGCACAATTGTTATACAATTGTTTTCCTGACATTGCTGTTATTTCCTCTTGATTCTTTCCATGATGTCACACAAGAATGCAATGTTGCCTTTAAATACACCCACAGGTGTGTTTCCAATAAACTGCAATGGTAATCTTAGGTGAATTAATCAGAAGCACACAAAACCACAGATCAACTGTGTCTAAAGGCAAAGTAACCCCTTCATATAGAAATGGTTGATGCTGCTGACCGGAAGGAGGAAAAGCTCAGCCAGAATTGATTAGGTATCTTTTTTATACAGTGCATGTGAACGACTGAAATAGAACAGTGTCAAGTTTGCAAAAAGAATGAAATCTTCCAATCACAATAGCAGAAAAGTTCAGGAAACTGTCAGCGTCAGACTAATAACAAGCCTGTTGTTTCAGTCTAGACTCTTCCCTGCATGAATGTTTAATTTTCTAGTTTTGACTTGAAATATAAAGCATTTCAGCTCGTTTGCTGTCTACTTCAGAAGCTGCAATGACAAACTTATAGTTGGAAGAAAAACACAAAACTTGAACAACAACAGCAGGTTTCTTACACTGCACGTTGAGCACCACGCTGTCTGTGATCCTCTCGCCCCGGTACGTCACGATGCAGGTGAGCTTCTGTTTGTGCGTCTCGCGGCTCGGGACCACCACGTAGCTGCTCCGCACCGTCACCGTGCCGTTCGGGTTGCGGGTCTCCTGCAAGGTGGCTTCCCCCTTCAACAATGTGTTCCACTTGATCGTGCTTGGGGGCTTCCCGTTGGCCGAAGTGCAGGTGGCGACGGTCATGTTGCGCTTCTTACCCCGGGCCACGATCGTCGGGCTCGTCAAGGTCATCCGAGTCATTGGTCGGGCTGAATAAATGAAACAAATAACATGACCGCCATGTTGAAAGATGAATGATCTTGGTGGAACGGATGAGGTATATTTAGCATAATAACAAGGACTGAGAAAAGACTGCATGATTAAATCATAATATAAAATTAACTGAATTTCTATTTGACTAGCTGTTAGCCTTTGGCCTCACCCATTTTTTTTTCCATTTAAAAAAATACCAAGGATAAAAGTCTTTGGACTGAAAATAATTGTAATGAAATACAATTCAAAGAAAACTACTTTCCTGAAAAGTAAAGGTGTATTTTCTGTTAGCAGTAGTTATGCTAACCTCTCATGTTTAGCAGAGTTATCAGGTTAATTGACTAGGTAAAATTGTTAGCATTTCAAGGTAAAGACACCATGTCAACCTATTTTGTCTTCATTGACAATAAATAATCTGTAGCATATAATGTGACATTTTCCTGTAATACCAATACATTATCGGTTCAATATTCACAATTTAACTTTTTTTCCATAGACCGTATGGAAAGAATCAAGTTTGTTTGCAAAAAATCTGCTTCTTTGTGGAAATATTGATATATTCTAAATAAATGCAGCTTGGGAAGCTGAAACAGCTACACGCAGTTCTACTTGACAGGTTGTTGGCTAGCATTTGTTGTTTGAACTATTACATTAAGTAGTTCTAAGCATTTTAAGAGGAGGTCTCAATTATTTGCTGATTTTAGCTATTCACAGGCAGCTGTGACCCTCGCAAATCCCAGGAGTCCGCTAGCAGTAAAGAAACGTTCATGGCAGGAAGGCTACGGGAAAATTAGTTTTAATTTGGGTAATCATAGTACTTAACGAGGAATAACAATAGGGTTAGCATTAGCACATCTAAGCTTCACATAGCTGTAAATTAGAAGCTGGACACAGGACTCTGATCAGTGGATCTTTATTAAACAACCTCAGTGAGGAAGAAGAGCGACTACTTCATCTACAATCGAGTACGAAGGAGATGAAACTAAAGGGCTGGGATGAAAATAGTGTTAAATCCAGCCTCTTTCCCTCCTCAAAGGCAAAGGAGTTGTCAAAGCTAGATTTGCCTACCCAAATGCACAGTCATCCAATTTCAGTTCTTTGTGGGTTGCCAATTAGCAATCTACTTTCGGCACATCAAAAGGCAGGCTTGAGTTTAAGCGAATGCATAACTGAAAGCGAGCAACGAAGAAGCCCCTTTGAACACTGATGGTTGGTTATCTGCCTGGAGATTCCTGACGTTTATGACGCTGCCTGACGAAAAGTCCTGGGGAGGCAGACCGGCATAAAACGTGAACTAAGAGCTGACAAGAAGTTCTCAGGCAACAGGGACTACTCAAGTCAAGTGTTCTTTCTTCTTTTTTTACTAGGATTCAATAGAAAGTACACCAGCACTTAATTACTAATTAGCAGTCTGATCTGAGTTAGCCACCAGCCTTTTCAAAACTGCTTCTTTTCAAGATAAACTACACCTCACACGCCGCGTTTTCCCTGCTGGATCGGACAGTTCAAACCAAATTAAACTCTCTGAAGTGGCCTTATTGATTTCTGTCTCACCTTTCATTTTAGTGACTATTCTCTGCTGCGGTTTCCTGTTTTATAATCTGGTTTCGGTGTTAATGTGCCATCACATTAGAGGTGTGATTTTCATAACAAGTACAGTTTGTTCTGCAGAGGAATGAGGGCCTTAGAGACCGATTGGGTCATAGGTGGCTTTTAATTTGTTTCAAATGCTGTGGCCTTCACTGTAAATAACAAAGTTACAGCACCCCTCATGCTGTAAGTGAATACCTAAACCTCAAAATGGTTCATAATAAAGTCCTATTTAGTGTGTAATTAAACTATAACCTCTATTTAATATTTAGGGGACTTCTGTAGACAATTGGTTCCCTGTATATATACTCTTTTGAATGAAAAAAAAATTGAAAATCACAATTTCTTCACAATTTTGTACCACATTGTATATATAATTGACATAAATTCTCATGAAATTTCATTAGCATGTTCCCATCAACAATTTTTTTATGCACTTTATGAAATATCGCATTAGAAACTGTTGATGGAAACCGCAAAATAATAATAATGAAAAAACTCCTAGAGGTGGTTTTTGCCGTTTCCAAGATTGACCCAAAGTGCACAAAGCGAAATGGAAGCACGTTTGCCAAATAATTTGCGACGCAGTGAACTTTCCTCATCTGCTGGTGGTGGGTCTGTGGCTTACCAGAGGCACAAAACTCAGAGAAATTTCAAAGTCCAAACCTCCAGAACAAAGGGGAGAGCTCTCTCCATTTTTCTGAGATGTGTGATTCGTGCTAGGTTGCACCCTCTGCGTCGCATTTATTACTCCAATGTGAAACACAATGCGAAGAAATGAAGCTCTGCTTAGTCTGGTTGACTCCCTCTAAACCAGTAGATAGAAACACGCCACATTCACATTTTCTGTGTGACGATTCAGAAGTTTGCTCAAAATTTGCGTGACATTTGGGTGGAAACATAGTTACTGGTGGTTATTTCACAAAATGTGAAAAAGTTCAATGGGTGGGAATATTTCTGAGATGCTAAAACAGTGGAGGATCTTACGATACTCTGAAATATAACCAGACTTCCTTTAAGACAAGAGATTTCTGGAAAGAAAATCTCTGGACTTGGCTTTTAGATTGTCACTATTATCTGATTCAGAAAAATGTGTTCAGCTTCTGACGTAAGTCAAACAGAAACCTCATTTGTTTGCGGATTTCCGATCACCTCAGATAAGTTAAAAAAAACGTTTGTAGAAGAACGTTGTTAACTGATGTTGAGATGTTTAACCTGTTTCATTTCCTGGATTAAAACGTCTCTGATTCAAAGTTGCACAATTATGTTCCGGTAAATCTGCATTTGCTCAACAACTTGTCAAAGCTTGTAGTAGCAGTCAAGCTGCAGTTTGAATGCATCTCCTTCTTCCACATTTATAGATTCAAGGAGTTAGTTTTTTTTGTGTGATGATTTACTTGTCTAAATTTGAGAGATTAATGCTGGAAGAGATCACTGAACTCTCAGCAAATTAAGAAAATGGGCATTTAACCAAAGCAAATAGTCATAGAAAACATCTACATCAATTAGCGACCTCAAGCAAGAAAAGTACAAGCAGCAGGTCCCCTCTGAACTAACTTTAACTAAGGGGCAAAGAATTAGCAATATTCTTTGCTTATTCACCTTATTATTGTGCATTATTGACTTTCCTTGAGCAAAAAAAAAAAAAAAATGCTCTCGAGCCTTAATAAAGAAACCTATCATTGAACACACAACACTTTATTTTTTTAATTCAGCAACTATTTCTATAGAAGTTAATACCAGATGAGGCCTTGGCTGAAGAAAAAGAACCAACCGAAACAAAAGCAGCTGGATTCAATTCAAATCAAGCAGACTGCCAATAGGTCTCTTAATGCCTCCTTACCAAACACGGTGAGGTTGACCATGTTCTCCCTGTTGCCCGCCGGAAACGTGGTGTACTCGCAGATGTAGGCCGCCTCGTCGGACAGCTGCAGGTTGGAGAACACGATGGTGGTGTCCTCCATCTGGTGGCGCTGGAGAGCGGACGCCTGCTTGAAGCCCACCCGCTCCTTGAAGGGCGGCAGGATGGACACGCCCAAGGTCGGGTTGGCGGTGGCGACGTTCTGCTTGGTGCCGTTGGACAGCTTCTGCCAGGTGACCTGGGAGATCTTCACCGGCGGGTTGCTATTGACGAAGATGCAGCGCAGTTCCACTTGTGTGCCCACAAAGCCAGACTTACTGGAGTCCATCTGTACACTCTGTCCATATACAGCTGCACAAAGAGAGAGGAAGAGAGAGAGGAGAGAAAAAAAATAATTACGATTAACAAGGGTCCAAGGCCGAGCACCGGCTCTTCAGTCAATAGCAAGTACATGCACTGAAAGTCAAAGAGTCAATTCAGCTTCCTGGAAACTTGCTCCACAGTCACAGTCCACCTCGTGGATTCAACCACACGCTCCTCTGTGCTGGATATATCTATTCCCTATACCTGTATGAAAAAAGTTGGGAACATGCTATTATCATAACGGGCACATCCATACAACCTCGCCTTTGTCTGCGAGGCTCATGTTTCTGATGAGATGGGCGGGTCGAGCAAGAACCAATGCATCGCTAATGAACAAGTACAAGGGCAGAGAGTTGGAGCCAAGTCACCGAGCGCCGCGCTCCCCTCCATGCCGCCCAGCAACCCACCGGGTAGCCCATTGTAATTTTAATTACTTTTTACACACAAATACCTCAATGATTGCCTGGAGCTCCTATTAAAAGACACAATGTGGAGTCCGTGCAAAACAATGAGAAGGCACGCATTAGCTATAATAAAAACTCGACAATCACACACCTCTTCCTTTCTGGGTATGCCCCTAGGGAGGTTGGTAGCAAAAAGGAAAACAATCAGTTAGCGAGGATGGATGATTAACCTCGTCTGTTCTTCGGAGTTTACTGCATGCGGTGCCCTCTGTGCTTGTTGGGACGCTTGTTGTTAAAAAGTGTGCAGAAATAGAAACGCGATGGCTTAGGTTTTTATTACAGCAGAAGTGTTATGTGGAATTAAATTGTTAATTTGAGTGTATTTATTAAGCGGAGGGTGGGGAAACACTAATTGAATAATTGTTATTCTTCAAAGCTACACTTGTATTGGCATCTACAATAAATACAACTGAAGCCTTTATAAGCTTAGTGGTTCTGTTTAAATGCTTCAGGTCATGAGGTCAATTTCTCTTGCCCAAAAATATGAAAGACATGAAAACCTAACATCCAAATAAGGCAAATGCAGTTTGAGCTTTGAAAACTTGGAAATACAAGAACATATCTACGCATATCCTAAAATAAACAAAAATGGATGAAAACTTAAGTTTAGTGTGCCAACCGGAAGAGTTATCAAGATGATGAGAGGGAAAATCTCCAAACCTCGCTGTTAGGAAACTGCAGGTTTTTCTTTTAAAGAAAGATGATTTATTTAATGCATGCATGCAACAAATACTAAACCAAATTTTCTTAAAAGCTGCTCTTACACTGCTTTTTAAATTATTACCAGCTCAATTCATCAGAATTTAACATGCAAAAATGAGCAACCCTTCATCAGCGCAGAATGAGCATCTGCATAGCATAACATCGAGATAAATGTCATCATCTGGTTATTGCTGTAACATTTGCAAAGCATATAAGTTTCATAGGTTTTCTTGGAAATTTTAAAAAATCTCCTGCGGTCCAGTTTAGCGTAAAATTCAACTGCATACACTGAAAGATTTAGATGTGTTACAAATATTATGTGCGTCAAAACAGTGCAGTGATATATAATTACAGATAGGTCAGATAATTTCCAAAACCGTTCTTATTATCCACAAGGATTTGACTAGAAATAAAGTCACGAGCTGACTGAATGCAATTAGTAAGAGAATCGGAAGGTTTTGTTGGCACTAAATAACTTTATTCAACAAAGTCTGGACAGGAAGAAGGAAGAGAGAGAAGGGCTGAGGACTGTAGCATCTGTACATGGTGCAACGCCTCTATGATTTCTGTACTTGTTATTATAAATGGAAACCTAATATCTTGGATTTCGGTCAGTAATAAGGCAAAAAAAGCTATTTAGAGAATTCAACTTTGTCTCAGCAATTTTATACTATTTTAAACCCCATTCAAATGAATTCCTCTGCTGTTTATGTTCTAGATCTTTTTAAATCTGGACTCTGTAGTGAGTGGAATCAGAACAGATGTGCCATTGGGGGGCCTTTGCCTCTTGTTGCCTTCAACACATCTTTGTTTTCCCAGGCTCTGATTTACGTTCCTTTCCAGGTGAGCTCTGGTGATGTCCCATTTCCTCATCCGACAGCCTCCGGGCCTAGCTTGTATTTACAACCATCCGCAGCTATAATTATCTCCTATGGATAGACAAGGACCCACAGGAAGAAAGGCTGGGATTTTCTCTGTTAATCACCATGGCCTCATAAAGCCACGAGTCGTGAACCGAGAGAAAATATGTCTCGAGCGAGCGACAGAGCCAAGGCCTGAACACACAGGCCGCAAACAGAGTGGCTCTTTAACAGGGAGCAACGGCGCCGCAGTGATGGATAATCGCTACCTTCTGTTTCCACAGGGTTTGGGGAGTTTAGATTTATATAAAAGAGATCCATTGCTCTCAAATAATATTCGGTTTTGTCAATCTGAGAAGAACATAAAGGAAAGTGGAGAAAACTATCTCGAGCAGACGCAGCAGTTGTTATGTTAAGATTTTGACTTGTAAAAACCGCAGGTAGTCAGCCGAAGGACATCGGGGCACAATGCAGCCTCGACGGAGAGGAAATGATGCAGACTCTGGGTGGAAAACTATTAAGATAAACAGAGTTGTTGGGGGTTTTTTACCGTCTTTCACAGTGGGTGTATAACCCTCATGGTGATTTGAGCGCTGGAGAGCAGAGCATTATGAGAGAGAGGCAATTTCAATCTATTGTTATATGCTTTCAGTCAAACCCTGCCTTTGCAGCCGACTTCAAATCATATAAAACAAACTGACAACCTTTTGAAGTTGCTGAGCACACATCATCTTTCATTTCCGTCTGAACACATCAGAAAAGGGCTTCTGATGACAGATTGATTCACTAATACAGTTTGACAGAAAGGACTGGCAACCTTGTCATGTGTACCTTAAGAACCACCTGTGTCCTCGTACAGCCCAAGGCAATGCTTTACTCCCATTTTGATCACGGCTTAGATTACCAGTTACGGCAACTATAGTGTGATATTTTTCGAAACAGCAAACACAATTTACTTTTGGGCGACACTAGTTAAAGTTTAATCTTAAGTTGGAGTGAAGCGGGGGGAGCTGTAAAAACCCATAAATGTGTGCCTGGTTTTATCTAAGCCGCTTCGCTGAGAAAACAATAACGCCACACGAAACGTGCAGCTCCTCCCTCCTCGTTCTGCCAGTACTTCTTTTGGGTCTGATGCCACCATCTTACATTGCTGTAAAAAAAATGTTTTTGACACTACTGCATATTTTAGATAAAACACACATAAGACAAGAAATATTCAAATATTTCAAACACCCAATGTGCCTTAATGAGCATGAATGCATACAGTGGAGACAGTCTTAGCGCTACAGCAGACGCTAACATCTACGGTCTTCCTTATCCCTGCCCTTTCTTTGGGGTGCAGCCAATTAAGCCTGTCGCAATAAATCAATTAATCACATGAAAATAAAAATGAGCTCGATAATTTCCATTTGCATGATTGTTTGTTTTTCTCATGTATTTCTTTCTTCCAAACACTAGAAGACAAAAAGCTTCAGTTTGGCGCTCTGGACTCAACTTGCCCCTTTTGTGAGGGACGGTTTTGTTTACAGACACTTCAGCGTCGATTTTATTTGTTACTTTGTTTACTTATTTTGGATGTTTATAATGTCTCCCAGCTCCAGTGTTAAATGTTTGTTATAAATGCAAGTTGATGCTTTACTTGAAAATGGTCTCAAAACAAAAATATTGTTGTTTATCACAATAATTTCTGCAACCTTCCAGCAAAATTTGTTATAGTGGCAGTCTCAAAAACCAATCAGTGACAAGGAAAATGAATGCCACTTTTGGATTGGCTGCTCAGCCAATAGCACATCAAATAGTATTGAGGTTCTCAGCTGCAAATAATTGTGAATATTTTCAAAATCCTACACAAAAATAAAAGAATGCAAACTAGTGGAGGTCAATTTGCTATATTCACACAGTTAAAGTATTTTCGTTTTAGTATAATAAATAAAATCCTCTTCTGAATACGAGTTAGCATCTATTTAGGCTTTTTTTCCAGTATTAAAATATTTCTGATTGATTCTGATTCCACCAATGTGGTCAAAACAGCAGGTCTCTCCGAAGGGGCAAATAAAAATGAGGTCATACAAATGGAAACCAAACAAAAGAGAACACATGGAACCAGCCACACGGTCCAAAACCCTTTAATCAAAGTTTAGGGACACCCAATGAGACCGTGCTTTCAGAACCATGTCCTCCTCGGCCAATAACTTAGTAGAACTGTAATTATAGACTGCACGACGCCATTTCAAAACCATAAAAGAGCACATACAAACCATGCAAGAGGTATTAATGTGATAGATTTCAGGAGGCTTGTAGGAACCAGTGGTGCAGAAAGGGAGGTGGAGCACGCCAAGAGGGAGCTAGGCAAAGTAGCAGAGATGCAAAACTGCAGAAAGGGAGAGTGGAACAAAGAGAAAGGTGGAGCTTTAGGGAGATTTGTAGGTGCGCTGCGGGTCTGAGCCTGGATGGCATTATCATTTGTGGAGCTGGAGCTTTGTTCTTGCACTGACAAGAGGGTGACTAGGGGGACAGTCATGCTCTAATACACCTGAGGCAACTCTCTGTCTGGCTAAAGAGTTGCCAGACAGCGAGCGAGTGAGGCAAATAGAGAGAAAAGGAAGGCTACTTCTGAAAAGGAAAGCAGCAGGACAAACAAATGGAGGTAAAAATATGGCGGAAATTGAATTAAAAAAAGAGACTTGATTCACACCAGGTGAGCTGACTTGGATCAGAGGGGACGTTAGGGGACACTATTAAAACAGCTGTTGTACCGTCTGGCCCTGTACTGATAGCAACAGACTCCAAAGGCCTCGGCACAGCGCTGTGCACAAAACGGTTGAACTGTAATAAAGCCTGGCTTGTCAGGCACAGAGGAAAGCATGTGCTTTGTGTTGTTTGCATATGGCACTTTGGGACCTAACAGCTTTCAGCTTTCTTACGGCATGTGGACAACGTCCAGGAAAATACAGAGCAGCAA